AAAAGACAGGACTTAATGATCAAGAAATGACACCAGGGGCTGTTTTAGGGCTATCAATCCAGTGAGGAGAGTCTACAAGTAGTGCTCTGTACTACAGATATGGCTCTCAGAACACCAGGGAGGGCACGGATTTCAGAAGTAGTCCAAGAAGATATTGGTAACCTGCTTATCTGATCAATCCTAGTGAATACGGAAGAAGAGTCAGAATTAGAAATGATGCATAGCTCATTTGTATCATCTGGAGAATAGTTTGGCCTTTACCACTGAAAAAAATAAAATCCAGGAAAGAAAATGTGGTTCCTTTAAAAAAAAAAAAGATTGCAGTAGCTAGCGGTGGTGGAGGTGAGGCGATTCAATTGCGATAATGATAGAATTTAATGTTTGTGTTCTCCAAGAGACCCTGTACTATTCTTTGTCAACATACTCTAATATCTGACTATCTTTATAAGCAGGCACTATACCTTTTTTCCTTGTTAGTCCACTCATTTCCAGTTTCCTAAATCACAGTAATAGGGCAAGTTGTAAGATGTGTGTGTTTACTCATCATCTTAGGGGAAATCCTAAATTACTTAGACAGCACTTGTCTCTAAAGAAATAATGCGAAGCTATGAAAAGACAGCTTAGAGAAGATTGACTGTTATTATGTTCAAGTCATGAAATGGTCCATACTTTGTTCCAGATGTAAGTGATTTATGTTATAAAGTTCATTTTTATCTGTCACTTGTTGGTTGAAATTTGGAACGCAGTCTATTGAGGAAACAATAAGTGATTTCCACACAGTCCTACAAAAACTTTCTCTTAATTTCAAAACATAAAGGAAATAATATATAACAGGAGTCCTGGTATGGTGCTTTAAGATAAACACTGGACTGCTAATCTGAAGGTTGGAGGTTCAAGCCCACCAGCCACTTAGCGGAAACTCTATCCAGGGTTGCTTTGAGTCAGAACTGATTCAACAGCAACAATAACAGTATATAATTATTTGGAGATATTAATGGAAACATTGCTGTTATTATACTCATAATAAGGAGTTCTGGTAGCGTAGTGGTTACGAATCAGGCTGCGAACCTCAGGGTCAGCAGTTCGAAACTACCAGCTATTCCGCGGGAGAAAGATGAGGCTTCTGCTCCCGTAAAGATTTACAGCCTCAGAAACCCTGTGCAGGGTTGCTGTGGGTCAGAACTGACTCCATGGCACCTAGCAACAACAACATACTCATAATTTAGCAGAAGGTTTGAATGGACTAAGGTTTTTGTTTTTTTTTTTAATTGCCTTGTAAGTTAACTTTTGAGGGAAAAGATTTATTTAGAGGAAGATGAGTAGGTGGACTTTATAGGGAGTTTTGTAAAGGATATTTGAGTACTTTAATGTTAACTAACACTCATTTTTTTAATCTTTTAAAATAAATAAAAAATCTATCGAAATTAAACATGTCATTAAAGTACTCTTGCTCTCAATAAGGGTTTTATCCCTCCTGGGAATGCTTTTGTTAGTTAAAGTCAAGTTGATTGTCAATCATGACCACCCTATGTGTGCTTGAGTAGAACCGCTCCATAGGGTTTT